ACAGGAATTGGTTCCTGGGTTGGTGTTTCTGTGGTGTGGTGTGTAGTTGCTGGTGAGTATTTGCTTCAGGTTGGGGGGTTGTCTGTAAGCGAGGACTGGCCTGCCTCCCAAGGTCTGTGAGAGTGAGGGATCATTTTCCAGGATAGGTTGTAGATTGTGGATAATGCATTGGAGAGGTTTTAGCTGGGGGCTGTATGTGATGGCCAGTGGTGTTCTGTTATTGTCCTTGTTGGGCCTGTCCTGTAGTAGGTGATTTCTGGGTACCCGTCTTGCTCTGTCAATCTGTTTCCTCACTTCCCCAGGTGGGTATTGTAGTCTCACAAATGCTTGATAAAGATCTTGTAGGTGTTTGTCTCTGTCTGAGGGGTTGGAGCAAATACGGTTGTATCTTAGACAATGGATCGTGTGATGTGTCTTGGATGGAAGCTGGAGGCATGTAGGTACATATAGCGGTCTGTAGGTTTCCGGTATAGGGTGGTGTTTGTGACCATCACTTATTTGCACTGTAGTGTCCAGGAAGTGGATCTCTTGTGTGGACTGGTCCAGGCTGAGGTTGATGGTGGGGTGGAAATTGTTGAAGTCCAGGTGGAATTCTTCAAGGGCCTCCTTTCCATGGGTCCATATGATGAAGATGTCATCAATGTAGCACAAGTAGAGGAGGGGCACTAGGGGACGAGAGCTGAGGAAGCGTTGTTCTAAGTCAGCCATACAGATTTGGGGCCATGCGGGTACCCATAGCAGTGCCACTGACTTGAAGGTATAAGTTGTCCCCAAATCTGAAGTGATTGTGGATGAGGACAAAGTCACAAAGCTCAGCCACCAGGCGTGCTGTGGCCTCATCAGGGATACTGTTCCTGACAGCTTGTAGTCCATCCTCATGTGGAATATTGGTGTAAAGTGCTTCTATATCCATAGTGGCCAGGATGGTGTTTTCAGGAAGAACACCAATGCATTGTAGTTTCCTCAGGAAGTCGGTGGTGTCTCGAAGATAGCTGGGAGTGCTGGTAGCATAGGGTCTGAGGAGAGAGTCCAAATAGCCAGATAATCCTGCTGTAAGAGTGCCAATGCCTGAGATGATGGGGCGTCCAGGGTTTCCGGGTTTATGGATCTTGAGTAGCAGATAGAATACCCCTGGTCGGGGTTCTGGGGGTGTGTCCATGTCCAGCCACTCCCAGTCTCTATTCAAGCCCAAGTTAATGGTATCTAGTTTGCAAATTAATTCTAGTTCAGTAGTTTCTTGTTGGAGTTTGTTTTTGAAGCTTTTCTATTGCAAAATTGCCACTTCAACCTCTGGTCACTCAGTAACAGACTTAATGTTCTCTTACTGGTTTTTGAATGTTATGATTCCTGATGTCAGATTTGTGTCCATTTATTCTTTTGCGTAGAGACTACCCGGTTTGGCCAATGTATATGGCAGAGGGGCATTGCTGGCACATGATGGTATATATCACATTGGTAGATGTGCAGGTGAACGAGTCCCTGATGGCGTAGCTGATGTGATTAAGTCCTATGGTGGTATCACTTGAATAGATATGTGAACAGACTTGGCATCGGGCTTTGTTGCAAGAAGTGGTAATGGCCATATATCAGCAATGTACTTGGGGACGTCCTGTTTGCATATAGATAACAGGAAGGGGTTGTGGCCACACCACGTACACATGCCCAGCTAGGTGATCCCATCAACATAGCGAAATAATATTACAGGAAAATGACTCTCACCATAGGCCTCTGGCAGGAACAAAACATTGTTAGTGATCATGGAAAGTGATCATGGAAACTAACAAACACTTAAAACAGACTCTGCTTGTAACTAGTTACGCACTTGATTATAAGTTAGATGTGATCCAAGAGCAAGCCTGTAAGTGCTCAGGGGCAGTCCATGGACTATTCCTTGGCTGAATGAAGGTAACAGATGCAGCAGAGGCCCTGGTGGCATGGCAGGGGGATGCTGAAATAGACAGGAATGAAAAATTCCATAGAAGGTCATTCCTTAGCCCAAAGTGCAAGCTTAAACCTAACTCAACTGGCAGATTCTTGCTGTCTGCCTTAAAGCGTGCCAACAAGGATGAGTCCCCGGGGGCTCTTATTGTGTCCAAAAATACTATGTACATAATAAGCTTTAAAAATCTAATGCCTGTGGCTTTGCTGGATTCTTCTTTCTGCAGTGCCCAGCAGTCTGTTATAAGAGCAAAATCATTAAAGGAGGAACTGGAAGAAATGAAAATTAGCCTGACCATCTCAGAAGAGAAGAGATGCAATATTGTGACCCAGCATAAACAGCTAGTAGGTCTTCTGATAATATATAAAAGTAAGAAGCTGTACTGAGGGAATGAGCTGCCTACCATTATAAAATCAGGAAATTATGTTCCCTTAATATGGCTGGTAGTTCATGTAGCTTTGGAAATAAAACTCTCTCTTTGCCTCTGATACGTTAACTGCCTTTTTACAACCTCTCAATTTGGGGCACGACTGAAATAAACTTTTGTTTGCAGCTTTATTGCTCCATGTAATACTCTATAATACTGTCTGGAATGGATATTGTTGAGGAAGGCTAACCTTTTAAGGCACCGCAGTGGGTATTGGGAATGCCTGGCTCTGCTGACACTTTTTGTATGGACCTTGGGCAAAACAGTTGGGGCCCGATTCTCCTTTAACATACACTTAAGTCAGTAGAATTATACCCATATAAAACTGGTGTGAGAAGAAACTTCACTAGCCCACCTGTATAATCTGAGTAATACCTCTCTAAAATGTTGAGGTGTGATTCATTAATGTTCATAAAGCACTTTGAGATCCGCAGATGGAAGGTTTTATAATTTCAAGTCTTATAGTGAAGTAAATCATTAAGAAATACTTACAAATGTCCCTATCTGCACTTAAAAAATCCTCTGGTCTTGCGTACAACTAAATTTACAGAATGTTTGGTGTTGTAATCTGTAGCCACACCTGTCTTTAAATCGGTTGATGTTCCTCTAGTAATTCTAGTGCTCTATGCTCTTGTGGAGTCTGCAATTTAGATTGGCATTCTCTGGTTCCCCGAGAGAGAGAGATTCTTGCAGATAGCTAGTATGAGATCTAAGTCCTTCTTTAGTGGTGCTCAGGTCTTTTTCTGGACCTCCAGAGGTATGAATTCCCCCATAATGCTGAGTGAGGAGCACTGGTCAGTTAAGTTCTCCTGATGCTGCATGATGCCTATAGATATAGACTAGAACTACTAAAGTTTCATTGTGCAACCGAAAAAGGGACTCCACTCCTTGAATTGTGGGGGGACATGGGGGGAAAAAACAATATGAAGATGCCTGCTACACTTTTCACCTTATTACAGGAAACTACAGCAAATGTTGCATATGCCACATCCTTTAGTAGACTATGATATTAGTCACAGTGTTCATTATTATGTTGCACTATTCCAACAATGCGAACATCATCTAGCGTCATTCTAGCCATCTCACTTTTTTGTGGCTCCTTAACTTAGTGGTTCACCAGATCAAGGCAGAGTAGCTTTGAAACTAAGGTCACCCAAGTAATTTGATAGTATCCTATGACTATTATAAACAATACTACCTTTAAAACATGGCAAGCTGACTCTTCCTGTATTCTCTTTTAACCAGGAAAAAGAGAATCAGTCTCTCATCATCAAAATTTCTTCTCTTCAGGAAGAGGTACAGTATATATAAACTTTACAGGTACGTGTATTCCTCTAGTTAAACTGAGCATGTGAGGAATAGAATTTTTCTATTATTTCAAGCCTGAGCTATTACATAGCAACACTGGTTATGTTCTACAACAGAAACTTCGTAGTGAGTCATGAGTCTCCAAGATGCATTACATTTCAGATTCATCCAGCAGATGAGGGAGAATAAGGTTTGTTGGGGGAGAGCAGTGGTGGTGGTTCCCTACTATGGAGGATCCAAAGATGTCAACTCCAGATAGCCCAAACACTGAAATAGTGTCCATCTAAACTCTTGCCCATAACAGGCACTTCTATTTCACCACTCAACTAAGATCTGGATCTTCTGTCCATCAATATGTCTGTCACTGGCTGTGACCTATTTATGTTGAGACCTCCCAAAAGTCTGCATAATTGATCATGGCTTAATGGTGTCTTTTGGGGAACAGTAGAGTGTGTTTGTGACACTCTCATTTTAAAATGGTTGCTGTTGTATCTGATTGGAGGGAAATATGAAGATCAAGACAAAAGTAGTTAATATTTCATTATAAGTAAAGTATATTGTTATAAAATATTCTATTTCTTGAAAAGTATGGTGTGTGTGTGTGTTAGAAAACACACCAAGGGAGAGAAGAACATGCCATAGGGACTAATGACCCACAAGAAGACAGTGCAACAAACAGAAGAAATATCTCTGAGCCAGAGAACTCTGTCCTGTGCTATTTCACCAGGCCCATCAATAGAACTTCCAAAACACGTCACTTGTCCAGTCAGTTGCAAACCTCTGAGTATGTCCATGATGTTAATTAATAGTATAGCCAATTGATTGACTATACTTGTGGCTCACTATGAGAAATATTCAAGAGACCAAATAAGCAAACTCAGCCAAATGTATTGTCTTAAAAACAAAAATGGACAATATAAAAAGAAGACGTACTTATCATCCTTCTGTGAAGCTAATCTTCTCTTGCAGCATGTTCACCTTATGCAGAAGATGCAAACCGAAACCATTTACATTATGGCTGTTTCAAGTTTAAAAAGCACTGAAGATCCAACTCATCAGTTCCTTATTTTGTTGTTCTGTACCTTTCCTTATCTCTGTTCTAGATACCACATTCCAAACTCATTGAGAGTAGAGTTACATCCCAAGCTGTGCTAGGACATTCATGTGTTCTTGGCTTTTACAGGCTTCCTATTGCCTAATGCTAAAGTCAACTTTGTAAAGTGTTGTGGGATACTTGACGTGGGTGACAGGAATGTGGGAAGAGCATAATACATTAATATAACTTCGCAAAACTATATTATATGCATAATGTGTGATGGCTAACACTGCAGGGGAGGGAGGCATGCAGGGGTATGTGTGATTGCAGCACGTGTAGACCGACCCATGGTAGCTTCAGTGTAGCTACTGTAAGTACTAACAATAGCGAAACCATAGCAGCACAAACTTTGGCGCAGGTTAGTCACCTGAGTATGTACCCAGAGTGCCAGGTGGGCATATGCTGCCACAGCTTCCCTGCTATTCATAGGTTGGTAAATTAAAGCTAGCTTGGGTGTGCCTAGACAGGTTACAGTCTAGGATTTGCTCCAAAGTGTACTGTCTTTTTCAAGAGCTGCCTAAAGCTTCTGGGGAGTGATGGGGGTGGTACTGTGTGGGAACCTGATCCAAGTGCCTTGAATGGGGTGAGTTTATGGTATATTTCCTGAATAAAGCAAAACTCAGGATTGTGTTGGCATAGAGATAGTGCCAATAAAAGTACATCAGCGCTGGAAAGATCAGTGTTGCTGGGCAGCAGGCAGCCAGAGCGAGCCGGTTTGGTTTCTATGCAGTTGACACTGTAAGTGTTCACATTATAAGGCCACAGGGGTGTTGGGGGTGTGGGGGGGAGAAGGAGGCAGGGTTTGCATGGTGTGGGGATATTGACCATCTCTCTCTTCCTCATCCCCTGTTGGAGTATTTTGGAGGGGCCAGTCAGTAAGGAGTGATTTGAGAGGAGGAAATCTTACTACCCGTCTCTCTCGCCAGCTCATCCAAAATAGTACACCACTACCTCAATATAACATGACCCGATATAACACGAATTTGGCTATAACACAGTAAAGCAGTGCTCCAGGAGGGGCGGGGCTGTGCACTCAAAGCAAGTTCAATATAACGCAGTAAGATTTTTTTGGCTCCCGAGGACAGTGTTATACCGAGGTAGAGGTGTATTTGGTAACTCTTCTTTGCTATGTCTAAGAGTTTGCATTTTGATCAGAATATTAGGAATGCCTTGGATACAGATGGCCTTCAGAAGAAGATTGTGGAGCTATCCAAAGATGCAGCTGAGCTCCAAGTAAGCACTTTAAAATTTAAACTTCATCATCACTGATAAGAGACTGTTCACCAAACTAGCCCTCTGTTTACTCTGAGTTCCACAGCTCTCTGACACTGTCTGCCATCACAAGATGTGATGTGCTGGTAATAGCCTGGATTATGGATGGTGCTATCTGGGTTCTAGCAGTCTTCCTGATGGACCATTTTATTTCTTTCTCCTACTGCAACCTCATTGAGAAGAATTCTTGTCTGTACTAGACTAGTTAAGGTTCCAGTGCTAGAAATGAAATAATAAAAAGAAGTAAAGCACAGTGTAGATGGGCTAAGGGAAATGAATGTGTCTGTGGGAGTTTCAAAGCTCTTTTTTAAAGCTTAAGCAAATATCACAACAAATATTGTGGAAAAGGAATGAACCTTTTTATCCTGAGCACTTGTCTCAACTAAAGTTACACATGAATACTGCAGACTCTTGGTTCATGCCAAATAGTTGCATAGATTATGACTTAGACTTTCAATGCTCCAGGTTGGCTACAAGATCAGCACCTAGAGCAGTGGTTCTCAACCAGGAGTATGCATACTCCCAGGGGATATGCTGAGGTCTTCCAGGGGATGAGATATCAACTCATCTAGATATCTACGTAGTTTTATAACAGGCTACATAAAAAGCACCAGTGAAGTCAGTACAAACTAAAATTTCATACAGACAATGACTTGTTTATATTGCCCTATATACTATACACTGAAATGTAAGTACAATAAATCAATTGGAATGTCAATATTTGATTATATGGTAAAAATGAGAAGGTACGCAATTTTTTAATAACTGTGTGCTGTGGCACGTCTGTGTGTTTTATGTCTGATTTTGTAAGCAAGTAGTTTTTAAGTGAGGTGAAACTTGGGGGTACACAAGACAAATCAGACTCCTGAAAGGAGTATGGTGGTCTGGAAAGGTTGAGAGCCACTGACCTAGATGATGATATGGTTTTAAGTAATAGCCAGCCTGGGTCTGTCAAGAACAAGTCTTCTTTGACAGAGCTACTGAGCTAGTGGATGGGGGTAAGTTGTACACATAAACTTGATTTTTAGAAAGGCTTTTGACAGTCCCGTATGACATTCTTGTAACCAAACTAGGGAAATGTGATCTAGAGAGTAAAGTACTGTAGGTGAAAAACTGGATGAAAGACTGTACTCAGAGTAGTTATCAATGTCTCATTGTCAAACTGGAGGGGAGTACCTAGTGGGATCCCACAAGGGTCAGTCATGGGTCTGCTTCTACTCAATATTTTCATTAATGACTTAGATAATGGAGTGGAGACTAGTATTATACAAATTTGTATATGACACCAAACTGGGAGGGGTTGCTAATGCTTTGGAGGACAGGATTATAATTCAAAACTACCTTGACAAATGGGAGAACTTGGTCTGAAATCAACATGATGAAATTCAATAAAGAACTGTGCAAAGTATTTTGCTTAGGAAGAAAAGGTCAAATGTGCAACTATACAATGGGGTATAACTGGATAGGTCTGCTGAAAAGGATCTGGGGGGTTATAGTGGATCACAAATTGAATGAGTCAACAATGTGATACAGTTGTAAAAGGCTAATATCATTCTGGGGTGTTTTAACAGGAGTGTTGTATGTAAGACACAGCAGATAACTGTCCCATTCTACTCAGCACTGCTGAGGCTTCGGCTGGAGTACTGTATCCAGTTCTGGGCACCACACTTTGGACTCCCTGCAATTTGTCCACATCTTTTCTAGAGGACGCCAAAGCAACACAAATGACGAAAGGTTTAGAAAACCTGACTTATGAGGAAAGGTTAAAAAAAACTGGGCATGTTTAGTCTTGTGAAAGACTGAGGGGGAACTTGGTAACTGTTGAAATAGTTTAGAGCTGTTTATAAAGAGGACACAGTGATCAATTGTTCTCCATGTCCACTGAAGGTAGGACAAGAAGTAATGGGCTTAATCTGTAGCAAGGGCGATCTAGGCTGGATATTGAGGGAGGAGGGGACTTTCTAACTCTATGGATAGCTTAACTCTTGGACAGGCTTTCAAGGGAGGCTGTGGACCTCCATCATTGGAGGTTTATAAGAACAAGTTGGACGAACACCTGTCAGGAGTCGTCTAGGTTTACTTGGTCCTACCTTAGCACAGGGCGTTGAGCTGATGACCTCTCAAACTCCCTTCCAGCCCCGCATTTCTGTGATTCTGTATTTTTGTTTATAACTGTGATCTAAAATATCCCTCAGGGCACAATAGGAGGAGTCCAAGCAGTGTCATTCCATACAACTTGTAAACAAGGAGTAAAACTTCCATTGATAGTTCATAAATGTGACACTCCCCAGGGTTGTGAGGCATCTCACCACAAGCAACCCTTAGCATGAGGCAGCCTTGTCTGTGCCTGCTCTGAACCAGTTCCCTGAATCCACCAGCCTCTGGCAAAGCAAGAGCTACCTCCAGGCCCCTGCCAGCCTTGCTCCCTCGGTACCAGTTAGTGAATGACCCACACCAACCCCTGAGCTCTCTCCAAGCATTCCATGTAGTGTCCAGTTCTTTATTTGTTGAACACTCTCAGAAATACCAGGTGTCCTGTTCCCAAAGAAACAGCAAGTGCCAGCTTGTATGACTCAGCTTAGGACCAGAACTCTGCTTTACACCAAAGCACTCCGATATATGGTGGCAACAAGAATAAGTTTATGATCAAAGATTAGAGATCCAGGAGATCTTGAGTCAAAAGATTGGAAACCAATAGTTCTATATAAATCAAAATCTTAATACGCTTTCTAGAGACTCAGATTAGCTAAACGGTTAACCTCCTGTCTAAATAAGTTTCTGTCACCCAAAATTCTCTGCAGCACTTTCAACCAAGGCTGGAGGAGACTCCACTTTCATAGGTGCAGGATAACAGGGTTATCGTCTTTGCCTTCTAGTAATACTCACAAAGTTCACTGTCTTTACTCATGAACAGGACAACTCCCTTCCCCCCCCCCCCACTTGTTCTTCTGCATGCATCTCTCCTGTTGACTTCACATCTCTTAGTTAACATCTGACTTTGGATGGAAATGGGCATCCACTGTGTTAGTTTACAATGCATAGTTTACATCCCAACAGAGAGATGTATGTTCCTTACCTCCTGGTTGGAGGGAAAACCTGTTTTTTTTTTTTTTCTACCTTTGCTAGTGACTAATATCTTGACACAGATTTTAAAAACACATTTTCAGTATATAGACAGAACTTCTGACATAATTCACACATACTTTTCACAACTATATTAATGACTAGTGTGACACTGGCTTTCATTTGAGACCTCACATGACATTCTGTGATCAACTAGTATGTACACACTGGACTCAGGAGACTCTTGTAACTCCTCTAAACCCCCCCC